CTCCACAGCATAAACAGCTCTTGAATCTTCCAGCCCCTTTTCTCCCCAGTTCTTGTTCTTGCTAACAACGCTTTCCCCTCACTTCCCTTTGTGAGATCCAAGAGGACACAGTCTGAGCTTGCTCTTCTGCCGTCAACTCCCGTCCCGTGAGGACCTGGCTACCATGTGTGTGCTCCGTGCTGGGTCTCTAGTATCCAGCATGCTGCTTAGACCATTACTGGCTGCGTGGCTAGAGCTGTGTGACCCGGTGCTCTGCATTGTTCAACCCAGACAGCTCTGTCAGCTCCAGCAAGGTTCTCGGCACTTGTAGTTTGCCCAGCTGTCCAGACTCAGACCCTAGGACCCATTCCTGGTCTAAAGAAGATTTATTCCCTTTGGCTGAAGAGCAAGCTGGTTCTTATCTGTATGCAGAATGTTCACAGGAATGGAGGCTGGAGACAAGCAGCCCTGTAAGAGCACAGTACTCCATCAGCCATTCAGAAGGCTGCTCTTCTGGTGTTCAATAACACTCTACCTGCAGCACTCAGCTCTCTGTCTGCCCTGGACCAAGTTCTACTAGGGATAAGGTCTACCCTTGTTGCTCGGTCCTTGGCTCCTAAAAGAGTCCCAGGCTGTGGTTCCTTTGTGGTCCCCCAGGTCAGATCCATAGCCAGAGCAGTCACATGGCAGGAAAGTCTCCAAGCTACTTCTCACTTGGAGAGAAAATACACATTTGAATTTGCTCTCCTTCTTGGCACGCTCTGTTTCTATGCTGGATAAGTGTGGTGTGTGCCTTGTCAACCTTCCCCGGCATGTGACTGAGGCAATGACCTCTGGTCTCCTTCTCTACCACCCAAGCTTTCAAGAAAATGTTTGGTCAGCCAAAACGGCCCTGTATGGTTGGAGCCAGATGGATGCTGTGACTCCCAACCTGGGTGGTGGCAGTACCTTGTCATGGGTTTCTGAAATCTAACTCTGGGGAGACTAGAGCACAGTTCAGGGGTAACCACTTGCCTTACATATGTGAGGCCCTGGGCTTAAACCCCAGAAGTTCTGTCAGCTTCTAGCAAACAGAAGCCATGCCAGATGTCCCTGTCAGCTCTTCTAGGAAACACACAATTGGAACCTGGAGCCTGTGCGCGTGGGCATACACACACACACACACACACACACACACACACACACACATACACACATACACACACACACATACACACACACACAGAAAGGGGGAGAGGGAGAGACAGTGAGGGAGAGACAGAGAGGGAAGGAGGGAGAGAGAAAGAGAGAGAGAGAGAGAGAGAGAGAGAGAGAGATTGAGAGACTAGTAGGAACTCTGGCCATTATCTTGCTGACCTTCCGCCAGAGCCGCCTTGATTGGAGGCCATTCCCACTGCGTGAGGACCTGAAATGCTTTCTTAGGGCTGGGAGGGTTCTTTCCAGCATGAGTCACTGTCCGCCTCTCTTCCTTAATTAGTGCTCGGGGAGTTGCTGTAACTCTGGTGAAGTCCACAGAAATTAATCAAAGAATCTCTCAGACCTGAAATATAGTGAGAGCTGCCACCGGGCCAAATCCGCAGGCCCCGGGACCTGGCTGGCCCAGCACTCCTCCGAAGTCATTCTCAGTCTCCCACCGGCTCCACACTCCCTGCCCTGGCACTTCCTTCTGCAGTGTTTGTTTTCTGGAAGGGTTTCCACTTGTTTTTTCCGACTATGGCAATTTCTCAATCCGCTACATACCACAATTCTCAATAAAAAACGGTTCTCATGGAACCCTGGTCCCGAGGGCTTGGCCAAGTACCGCTTCTTGGATGTGGTCCCTGTGTGTCTGCACTTTCTGGGATGCAAAGCACGGGAGGGCCATCCACACTCAGATAACCCCCACCCCCGCTAGCCTCCAGATAAGTCGGCCCTACAGGTGCCAGAACCAGGGACTGGTCTGGGAGATGCCCAGCAGTTAGCTCCATTGTAGCAAGAGGCTGAGTATGAAGAAGGGCCACATCCAGAACATTCAAGAGAACAGATCCACGACTGCAGCTCTGGCGGGAGGAGCCTAAGAAGCTGCCCCATCACCTTTAGCGACCATCCCAGGAGGCTACTCTTCCTCTGAAGTGCTCAGCCTGGCAGGCTACCCATAACCCACAGTACCTAGCCCAGAAGGCCCCGTGCCACACACAGCTCAGACACTAGCCTTATCACCCATAGTGCCCAGTCTAGGCTATCTCTCTAGAAGTCCTTCTCCCACTAGACTGAAGCCCTTGGGGTCAGTGCCACTCTGTCTGTCCTGGTACCCTCGACCCCAGCAGATGACAGACCTGGGGGTATCAGAGAGCAAGCACAGAGGCACACGGGCTGCTTTATCCTGCAGAAGCACTAGCAGGACCGTGATGTGATTTCTCTGTTAAGCAAACTCCAGTGGAGTAGAGGGGAGGGGTCTGAAATACAAGAAGGAAGGTGGCTCCCACAGAGTCACGGGGGCAGCCAGGAATAGAGTCCAGCCAAAACAACCTGCCCCCACACAGCGTCTCTAAGGTGAGCCCATGTGGCCTTAGGATCCCCATGAGCCTACACTGTCTTCATGGCTTGGATCTTAGAGTGTTGAGGCTTCCAGAAGTTTTAGAAGGACTTTCTGTACTGCAGGACTGGCCATCGGCAGGTACCACCCACAGGGCTCGCCAAACTGGCTCACTGGGGGAAATGAAGGGCGTTAGTGATTGTATTCAACAAGGAGCCTAGATAGAAGTGACTGGCCCCGACCTACTGGCTCACCTTGGGTGAACAGGTGAGCTGCTTGCTTGCGTGCTTAGTTGACTACAGGGACTTTTGCCGCAGAATAAACAAACCCTATTCTGCGAAGGGGGACCGGCTCCTAACATGGGGGCCATGAATGTCATAGACGTGGTTGTGAGGGAGGTGTTTATTTCCTAGAAGAGCCCTGGTGGCAGTCACAAGGCAGACTGAGTTTCCAGGGCAAGTGGCAGAAAGGAGGCACGCCCAGCTGAGCCCCTGATCTTAGCCTTGCAGGCATCCACCGGTGGGAAGCCTAGATGCACGGAACTCACAGCCACACTCACTGTGCCTTCTGTGCTGCTTCCTCTGCCCTAGGGTTGGGCTTGTTGCTATTTCCCCAAGTGAATGCTTATATCTGCAGTGCTTTTCTGATTTTTTTAAATTTCATGTGTGTACGGTGCATGAGTGCATATACATGCCAGGGGATTCATGTGTGTGTAGGCCAAAGGAGAATGTCAAATGTCTCTCTCTCTATCACTCTCCACCTTATTCCCTCGGGCCAGTATCTCTCAATGAACCCAGAACCCCAGGATTTTCAGCTAGGCTGGCAGCCAGCAAGCCCCAGTGATTCACCTTGCCCTTTATCCCAGCATTTCAGTTGATACGTGCTGGTAAAGTCACTTTCTTGACAAGATCAGGCCACTATGGTGGCCGCCACATGGTGTGGGTGTCCTCATCTCGGCTCAAACTCTGAGCTTATCCTTAGCGGAGAGCACATTTTTCCACCCAGGGATGTGGGCAGTGTCTGGGCGTAGCTTGGTTGTCCCCGGCGGGTGCTGCTGATCTGTCTACAATGCTCAGGACACGAGTCTTACACCTTCAAGTGCACTGACCTGGCTGCACAAATTATTCTTTGTCCCCAGTCCTCTGCTCCTCCCAGGGCACTGGCCTAGGCCGAGAGTGGAGTGGTGTCCTTGATCTAACCCCAGCAATCACGGGACCTTGTTGGAAGGAGATGAGCAGTAATGGGTGGACAAAGGGCAGGGAGAAGAGAAACTGTTCCGTCTCTGACCCAGTTCATTCTTAGAGTTTCTATGCTGTGGAAAGACACCATGACCAAGGCATCTCTTAGAAAGTGTTGAATTGGGGGCCTGCTTATAGTTTCAGAGAGTTAGTCTGTTATCATCATGGAGGGGAGCATGGTGGCATGCAGCAGGCATGGTGCTGGAGCAGTAGCTGAGAGTTCTACATCCTGATCCGTCGGCAGCAAGCAGAGAGCCACTGAGTCTGGCATGGACTTTTGAAACCTCAAAGCCCACCCCCAGTGACACACTTTCTCCAACAAGGCCACACCTACACCAACATGGCCACCCATTCTAGTCCTTCTCAAAGAGTTCACCAACTGGGCATGAAGCGTGCAAATATATGGACCTATGGGGGTCATTCTCATCCAACCCCTGCAACACACACACACATCTCATAAAGTCTAAGTCAAAACATCCTTGGGGTGGAATCAGCAGAGGCTTGGAGAAAATGAACTAGGAAGACAGCAGCTCCCAAACTGCTAGTAAATGAGCACACATCAAAATGTCAACAGAAAGGAAAACCGAGGCCAGGGCTGCGCACAGCCACTCTGACCACAGTACGGAGGACATGCGTCAGTCAAGAACTCACTGACAAAATGCCCTCTCGTTCCACATGAAAGACACATTCCTGGGTAACTGACAGATCAAGGAGCAGACGAAGCCTGTGGTAAAACATGTTTTAGGTTGGAAGATTTAAAAATTACACACCAAGATGAAGTTTCGGTCACAGCCGTGAGCAGAGGGATTTCCGGGGTTTCAAATGCCTTCTTTAGCAAAACAAAGAATAAAAAAAGAAAATGATCCAACAACGTCTGCCATCTATGACCTTCAGAAGGTCTGAGGAACCAGATGAAAAATCTAACTGGAGTAGGGTGTTTAAAGACGAAGGAAGCTCAGCCAGCCACTACAGCCAAGAGCTCATCCAAACAAAATAAATTAGGGTATTTGGGACTAATCTTGAATAGGGTTTCTGAACCGCAGCCCTACTGACACTTGGACCAGATCACATCTGGGGTGAGGGGCACTTGCTCCCTGCCTTGCATGCTGATCAGCAGCGCTTCTGGATCCACCCATTGGGGACAGCCAAGCTATAGCCTGCTGTGGAGTAATCCTTCTGTACACTGCGAAAGTGTGTTGCTCTCAATGTCAATAAAAAGCTGATTGGCCGATGACTAGGCAACATTTCCAGGGCAGAGAGAATGCCGGGAAGAAGAAGGGTGGAGTCTGGGGAGTCCTGAGCCAGACTTGGAAGAAGCAACATGGGAAGTTCATAAATGAGGTAAACAAACCTCGGGGCAGCACATAGATTAATAGAAATGGGTTGATTTATAATGTAAGAGCTTGCTGGATACAAGTCTAAGCTATTGACTGAGGGTTTGGAATTAATATTCAGTCTGTGTGTTTACTGGGGAGCTGGCAGTTCCCAGGAAAAACTCTGCCTACGATACCCAGACACTGTCCACAGCCCTGGGCAGAAAAGGTGTTCTCCGCCAAAGATGAGGACACCCATACCATGTGCTGGGTCACCAGAGTAATGTGATCTTGTCAAAGAAATGGCTTTACAAGTATATGGTGTTTGTTTGTTCATTGGTTTGCTTTAGAGACATGTTTTTTTTTTTTTATAATCTAGGCTGGTCTGGAATTTGCAATCCTCCTGCCTCAGTCTTCCGAGGGTTTGGATCAGAGATGCGTGCCACCTCATTTTGCTCATGTTTAAACATCCTTTGAGATAAGCATCGTGTGGTCAGAGAGCTTGAGAAAGTCTCCAGGGGCTGAGGAGCTGGCTCAGTGGGAAAGAGCTCTTGCTGAGCAAGTCTGCCAACCACAGTTCCGAGCCTCTCACACACCTGGAAAGCAAAGCGTGGGCCACGCACCTGCAACAGTGCTGCTGGCATGGGGGCAGAGACCAAAGGGTCACTGGGGCCTGCTGGTTGCCAGTGTGGCTGAAAAATCCATAACTCCAGGTTCAGAGAGAGAGGGAGGAAGGGAGGGAGGGAGGGACAGAGAGAGAGAGACAGAGAGGGGGGGGAGGGAAAAAGGGAGGGATTGAGGGAGGGAGGAAGAGAGAGAAAGAAAGAGGAAGGGAGAGGGAGGGAGGGAGAGAGAAAGAGGGGGGAGGGAGGGAGGAAGAGGGGGAAGGGAGGGAGAGAGACAGAGACAGAGACAGAGAGAGAGAGAGAGAGAGAGAGAGAGAGAGAGAGAGAGAGAGAGGACCTATTTCTACTAATCACTTGATCCGGGAAGAGACTATTCCCTCTCACAACACTAGTGACTCCCACCATTGTCTGAAGAGCCTGCAGTGGCCTTTGCCTTGCATGACAGCACCCCTCTGAGACCAGCTCCCCAGTCCTGCTCACCAAGCAATAGGAGTCAAATCCCAAAGCTGTCTGCTGAGAATGACACAGAAGCAGCTGCCTCTGAATCATCCATGTTCCTATGATAAGGTCATCAATTCACCAAGCTTGACTTAGTGGAATTGTAGCTTTGGTCTGTTGTTGGTTCCCTACCTGGAAAGCCTAGAAGTTTGTCCAGATCCCTCTAGGAAAAGCCACACACTATTGGTACCCGAATATGGACAGATGAAGCCAAAGACTGGTTTGAAGTGGGGAGCGGTGGTCGGACCCTGCAATGGGTGATCAGACTGCAGCTGAAACTGTTCCATGAGACGGGAGAGTATTCTTGGTCCCACTGGGGCTACCTTTCCCCATGTGGTATGGGATGGTGTACCACCTTGCTGCGCCAAGCTCCCTGAGATGAAGCTGCAGGCTATCAAGGCTGAACTATCTGGAAGAGACTCCCAAGGTAGCCTCTTCTGTGTAATACAGAGTGGAGTATGTCTTTGAAGAACGGGGTCTACTTTGTGAGAATGTGGGTACCCCCAATATTTCTAATAGATACCATAATGAAGCTCCTAAAAGTGGTACCTACAGTTCTAGATCATAATCAGGCGATGGTGTCTATGATGTGTGACCTTTCGTGTGGGTGATAAGACATGCAATAGACCTCCCTTCCAGAGAGACCTGCCTGTTGTGAGGAGTTACAATAGGAAATGGACATCAAATGGCTAGTCTCCAGTGAGCACCTTACTTGACAAGGAGAGAGGAGCATGAGGCGGGAGGGTGGGAAGGAAGTGCTGTGTTGTTTCCTGCCCTGGCGGGATGCAAGGGAAAGAGCATCCATGTTAGAACCTTTCCTGGGAAGAAAACATATTAAAGGCACAAGAGGAAGGGAAAATCCCTGGCTCAGCATGCGGAGTTGGGGTGTAGGAAATGAAGACAGCCAGGGAGAACTTGGTCCTGAGCCCCTGGATTTGGGACTTAGTTGGATCTAAGAATAAAAGTGTCAGGACCATAGGAGCCCGTTGTGTTACCCTTGTTTCAAGGACAGCAGAGGGCAGAGATCACACGGCCTTTGGTCAGAGCTGAGTGCCTGGAGTTGTGGCTTCTAAAGAGCGAGAAGCCTGGAATCGGCTATGGTCACAACTGTACCACCAACACGTCACCAGCTCCTCCACTCAAGCACAGGAGCTCCTCAAGCCAATGCTAACGGTAGGGGACAGTCACACAGAGAGGCTCTAGGTAAAGTCGTCCCATCTGAGGAGTGTGCTCCTCCTGCCCAGAGCACAGACCTCTGCTGAAGCTGCGTGAATGTACCAGTGTGGGACACCGGTGTTTCTGGGAGCTCAGTGTCGTTGTCCTCTGTGGGGCAGGGGAAGAAAGAGCCTTCCTTCCACAGCGCAGTCCCAAGTAGCAAGGGAGCACAGAATCCAAAATACGAAAAGTGTGCAGTGGACTTACACATAGAGAAAGGTGCTCTGGAGGGGAGGGGGTCTTGAGATACAGGCCTGGGGAGCAGCCAGAGGGCTAGTGTCACAGATAGAAGCAGGCGTTTAGCCACTGAGCAAGACAGATGGATGTCAGAGAGTGTTCTCAAGGAAAGCCATGATTTGACTGGTCCATGTGATATGGGCAGTTGTGGGGAGGGCATGGCCACGCTAGAGAAGGCTTCAGACTGAGGTCAAAGAGTCTTAAAGGAGAGAGGCGGGTTCCTCTGGCCTGGCTCTGTTGCTTTCTGTCAGAGTATTTGGGGGACCAGCTCCCAGTCTTTGGGTGTTGAAAGGATAACAACACTTGAACCTTTCAGAGGCAGCTGTTGGGAGGAGCCTATTTGCACACGCATCTTACTGCACGCTTCATGATGGTTCTCCACAAGGAGCTCAGGCTGACCTAATTGGAGAGGACTCCGCTGCCAGGCAGAAGCCACCAGAATCTTGGCTACAAATGCCACAGGACCTGACACTTTCCCTTCCTACTAAAGTCCTTTCAACTTTCTAATCATCAATGCAAAACCAGAAAGGGCTGCATGTTGACCACCCCAGCCTCACCCTTGGGTGTTTCTGGATGGACGGACATACTAGTTGTTCTGCAAAAGCTCCCCTTGCCCTACGCTCTCACTGGCGCAGCTTTAGGTAATTCCCAGGCGGAGCCCTTGTATTGGGTCAGGACTCTGCAGGGGAACAGAATCAACAGGATGAGTGCATGCTAATAGGGGATTTAGTGATGGCTTATACAATACAATCAGAGAAGCCCCTCAATGGCCTTCTCACACCATGGGGGCCAAATGCCTGGTCCTCTCTTGGTGTGTGTAGCTGAGCGCCTCAGCAGTTCTAATCTGGCTCCAACGTGGAGGATTCCTGGAGAGCAGACACTGTTCACTCTGCATTGAAGACTGAAGATGTCTGGCTGAGTATCAGCCAGCCAAGGCATCAGTGGCGGTGGCTGCAGAGTGGATGAGCTCGCCAGCAAGAGTAAAGATTGAGTGAGCAAAGAAGCCAAAACTTTCCTCCTCCAAGTCCCCTTATCTGACTGTTACCTAAAAACATTGCCAATGCTTAGGCTGGGTCTTCCCACATCAGCAAGAGGTATCAAGACAGACCCCCCACGGACAGGGTCACAGGCCAACTTAATCAAAAGGGCTCCTTGCTGAGGCTCTTTTCGAGTTGTTCTAAGTTTTGTCAAAGTGACAAAGCAGCCACCACAGCCTTCTTCCACGAACGCTTGCGCAAAAGCTTACCTGCTGAAGGGCGGTGGTAAGGAAGCATTGCAAGTCTTTGCTTCCCATAATTAAATCATTGTACTTCTATAAATGCTGGAAACTTGGCTTGCAGAATAAAAACTTTCTGTAACTAATGCGAGAGCCTCGAATCTGAGCCGAGCCTTTTCAGGCGGCCTTCGCTGGCCTTGTATGGCGGGAGACATGCGCAGTGCGGAGTATGGGTGTTGCACTCAGAACCAAGGCCGTGGGGAAGTTCTGCAGTACACCGTGAGTCAGCGCCACCTTTATTATGCAATTCGGCTTTGACTTGCTGTTTGGTCACTGTGCCTTGAGGAAACCATGTATTGTTGCTGATGCTTTTCATGATCCCCGCATTCTGTATCCGACTTTAGTTTAGGAAACTGGTTAGGGTAAGGCCACAGTTTAAGTTTTGTTGTTACATCCTGGAAACTGCAAACTCTGCAGCTCTTCCACCCATGACTGCATTTTTTTTTTAAATAGAAATTTAAAATGTATGACGTGCAGAGTTGTTCCAAATTGGAGAACTCCGGTTTCACTTTCTCCAGGTCCAAAGTGTGTCTGTGAGTCCGGGGAAGAGCCCCGTGGCCAGTCTAGACTCCCATCTTCTGCTCTGTCCCGGAAACCCTGGATAGATGTGCTGAGCTAAGGGGCAGAATGGACTCCAGAGAAATTGCGGGAATCTCCAAGGCCATGCCTGTCACACTTCCTACTCACATCTCTCTTGACATGTTTCTCTGTATCCAGATGTAAGTTAGATGGCTGTGATTCCTCCCTGGAAGCCCCACCTTGCTTCCCAGGCCCTCCTCATATACGAGAGCATGGATGGCAAACCCGTATACCTGCACCTGTCCTGGGTCTCAGCCTTCGTCCTCAGCACTCACATGCTGTTTGAAACATGATGGTGATGGGAGCAGCAGGGGCACCAAGGAGCACAGGTGAGACAGGTGATCCCCGAGGTGTGTCAGCTGGCAGGGAGGACCAACTGCAGGATTGTAGAGTCAGAGTAGGGAAAGGGAATCTCCTTTCCTGAGCTTTGGGGCCTTGGTTCTCCTCATCAGCGGGCTCTGGGCATCCTGAGTTTGACCTGCACTTTCATCTTAAGCAAAGTTCTCGGGGTACAGTGAAACAGAGCGAAATAGGGCATCCTACCAACTAAAGCAACTGAACCAAGGAGTTCATCTCATCCTTCTCCCCAACCCATGGGATCTAAATTCAAGCAGGGAGCATTTTACTAATCCATTTGTATTTCAGTTGGGATACCCTGTTTGGACACGGAGTGAGCCTCTCCACACCCCAACCCTGACCCTCTTTCATGCCACAGTGAAGTATCAAGATTCTTTTGGTTGTTTTTTGTTTGCTTAGTTGTTTTTATATCCCAACCACAGTATCCCAATCACAGTTTCCCCTCCCTCCTCTCGTCCCAGTTCCTCCCCGCCCCGCCACACTCCCTATGTCTACTACTCTCCCTCTGTTTCCCTTCAGATATGGGTGGGGCTCCTGGATATCAGTCAACCGTGGTATATGAAGTTGCAATGAGGCTAGATGCCTCCTCTTCTATAAAGGCTGGATGAGACAATCCTATAGGAGAAATGGGTCCCAAAGGAGCAACAGAGTCAGAGTCAGCCCCTGTTCCCACTGTTAGGAGTCCCACAAGAAGACCAAGTCACACAACTGTAGCCTAAGTGTAGAGAGGGCTTAAGTCAGCCCCATACAGTCTTCCTGGTTGTTGGTTCAGTCTCCGTGAACCCCTATGAGACAGGTTAACTGGTTCTGTGGGTTTTCTCATGGTGTCCTTGACCACACTGACTCCTATAATCCTTCCTCCCCGTCTTCTGCAGGATTCCCCGAGCTCTGCCTAATGTTTGTACCAATATTCTTTTTTTTTAATTTTAAAATTACATTTATTTATTTATTTATTTATTTATTTTCTTTGGGGGTGGGGGAGGCGCATACACTGAGACACAGGCGCGGAGGTCAGAAGGTAACTTCCAGGCATTGATTTTCTTCTTATTCATGATGCTTTTGGCACTTCTTTTCCACTCTCGGCTCTTTCTGCCTATTATAAAGGCTTCTTCTTCTTCTTCTTTTTCTTCTTCTTCTTCTTCTTCTTCTTCTTCTTCTTCTTCTTCTTCTTCTTCTTCTTCCTCCTCCTCCTCATTCTCCTCCCTCTTTCTTCTTCCTCTTTCCTCCTTTTCTTCCTTCTTCTCCTACTTATTCAGTATCATGAAGTACACTTTTTCTCCTGTGAATTTCTCCAGTATATCTGCAAGATGATCCTTTCTGGAAGGCTTGGGTATTTACTTTGTCTGGCAGTCTGTTTTGCAAGTGTTTTGTTCGTTGTTCTTAGAATTCTCTCTGTGGTGTTACAGTTTTCTTTTCTGTGCTTTTTTTGTCGATTTTGAGGATTCATGTTTAAAATACAGTGAAGCCCTGTCTGCTCTCTTTGTGTGTTTTGGATCATTCAGATTTATATCCTGTTAATAAACAAAATAATTTAGCCTTAACCGTATCTTGCTACCCAATTTTTAAAATGGTTTCTTTTATATGATTGCTGTTTAAAGTTGGAAGTGTGTGTGTGTGTATGTGTGTGCTTAACGAATCACCCCTTCCACTAAGAATTAAAAATTGTCAGCTTATCATTTTCCCACAATTTCTGTATAATTTAATCTACCTTCTATTCTCCATTTTGTATGCCTGAGGTTCTCTTTGCTAAAATAAGGTAAAGAGATCTCGGAGATGGCTCTTTGTTGGTGATGTTCTTGCCATGCAAACACAAAGACCTCCATCTGAACCCCTAAAACTCACATAAAATACCCCAGTGTGCAGGTGCCCACTTGGTTACCCACGACTGGAGAATGGCAGCAATGCTGGGGAGGCAGCCAGCCAGTCATTCTACATAGTGAGCCCCAGTGGGAGACCCCGAATTAAGAAGCAAAGAGAACAGCAGCCAGGGAACCTGAGACTGAGACAGACCTCTGGCCTCCACATGTAAACACATGCACATATATGTCTATGCCACACAAAGCTAACTGAAACAAGGAGAGCTAGTTCTCCGCTGGTTTAACAGATCTCATCTGGCAGACGGAACTTCTGAATCTACTCCATCATGTGTATTTCTCCCTGGAATGCCTGAACATTTTATTGTTTTTTTATACTCATGATTTTTGTCTTCAATAAGTGCTCAGCGTCCATATTTCAGGTCTTCCTTCCCCGGGGGGAGTGGTGCTTAAGTTACTGAATTTCCTTTTTAACATGAAGTTTTGAGTTACAAGGGATGTGCTCAGGTGGTTCATACGTCTCCATTCCTATGCGAGCCCGGAACACAATGCTCCCAGCCTCACTGGAAGCAAGTCTCTATCCCCTTATCTGAATGAAGGGTTGCCTTTCCACGACAGTAGTCAGCATTTTTAGGTCTGCCTACCTGATGGATCTCCAAAACCAGAGGGAAATCGCTATTACATTAAATCTGAAACTGTCCACATAGTGACCAGCACATTCACCCTGACAATAACCGCTGTCTGGTGCCACTGGTGACAGGTCACAATGTGTGCCATCTGGCTTAACCTTCAGAGCCACCCTCAGAAGTTAGCACTCCTTCAGTCCGATTGTACAGGAGAGAAAATCTCGGGGATTACTAGTCTTTAGTTAGTGGGGAAGTTGAGCTTATGACCCAGGCGCGAGCAACCGTTCTAGCCCCGACCTGTTCTGACACCTGTCGGGTGAGTGGGGCCCTGGACTGGAAGGACATAAGCTGTTCATTCTTCAGAGTGCTTGAAGGAAGAGGAGGAAGGGAAGGAGACATTGGGCTCCAGGAGCTAGAAGGCAATGAGCAAGCCCCTCCCACAGCCGCTGGAACTGTCTTACCGCTCACAGTGACTTCTGACCTCTACTTGTAGTGTAGGGTCCTTTATCACAGTAGGCCCAGGACACTGTGTGGTCCACCCCAGTAGCACCCATAACCTCCAACTCAGTTCCTTCCTCCACCATACCTACCAAAGTCCCCGTCTCAGGCACGTTCCTCCCCAGAAGTCCAAGTGCAAGCCTCATTCCCACCTGCAGGTTACCTGTACCAATCTCATCCCCCCACTGTGACCATCCCTCCCCTGCTGCTCCTGCTCCCTCTTCCTGCTGCTCACCCTCCTGCCCCACAGCACACCTGGGGCTCACTGAGACTTACCATTTGTTTCCAGACCATAAACTCCCTCGGGATTGGGGTCTGGGCTGCTTCACTGTCCTTGAGAATTGCCCCAAGTGCCCGGAATGAAGCTGGCTCATGGTGCACACACAGTAAATATTTGGTGAATGAATGGGTGAGGAGGTCACAGGCAGGGCTGCCTGTGGGGAGACAGGGCAAAGGAGGAGGGGAGAAGCAAGGTAGCCTAGTGGTCAGGACTGGGGGGGGGATGCAGTTCCGTGGGTAGGGAGAATGCCTCTGGCCTCTGACCTTGGGCTTGAGTGCCCCCCTCTCCCAGTTGCCTCCCACCCAGAGGAAAGAAAGGCCTCCCCATGAGGAGTCTGTAACCATAGACTCTGGTCCAGGGCTCCTGGCACTCAGAAGAAAACCCCCATTCAAAATACCCACTTGGTTTTTGTATGGACTTAGTGTCAACTATTAAGTGTAAGAGCAGATGAGAAGACACGTGATGTTTTCTCAGTAAATACCGAGCGAGCCAGAGTGGCCTCTATGCCCGCTGACCTGCAAGTGTGACGGCCCCGAGGGCTCTTTACACAGAAATAATGCACTGTAAGTGTGTGCTGCTGTTGGGGACCTGGCTCTCGGAGGCTGTTCTTCTGTCCCATTAATTACCGCTGCGGAGGAAGTGAGGTCAGGCCTCCCACCAAGGCAATTGGGCTCCCAGGGCCACTCTGCGGTTCCTCGGGAAAGCGTCTTTTCTCATCCACACAGCATCACCATCTCAAGGCAATAAATCGTGTGCAAGCAAAGACAAAGGGGGGAAGAGAGGAACTCCATTTAGGGGGAGGCTCTAGACAGACAAAGGGCCACCATGCCCAGGTGCAGGATCTGTCCACATCTCAGGCCTTCAGGACCAGGGTTCTGGCCAAGAGCAGGATTGCTGGGACTAGGGTAAGGGGGTATAATGACCTCAGTGTAAAATGAGGGGACAGAGAATCCTGGGGAGCAGGTCTCTCTCTCTCTCTCTCTCTCTCTCTCTCTCTCTCTCTCTCACACACACACACACACACACACACACACACACACATACACACACACTCATACACACTCACACACAAGTGAGTGGCCGGCTGGGTGGTGCCCCACCTATCTCTGGAGTTCATAGGGTTCCTTCCTGCAGGCTACAGCCCCACTAGTCCTGGCCATATAAATGAGTAACTTATACACTGTATCCCCCAAAGTCTCTGGGGCGCCTACCCGCAAAGCCATCTTTTTAGGGACTATAAACTCCCAGCATCAGCTAGTGTGGAGCCCTGGGTCAGGAGGGACTGGCATGGGCCCCTGGTGACAGGCAATTTAAAGGTCTCCCTCCCTGTTAAATGGCAGCTCTGGCCCAGCTCCAGAGGCCACCAGGAACACATCCCATTGTCAGCGGGTGCTGTTTCTAGAGACTCAGGAAAAAGGGAGAAGATTAGAGAATGACAAGAGCCAGCAACGACTCTTGTCCCAAGGTTCATATCTCTTGGTTTTATATATGGGTTCCCTTTAGTGAGAGGCAGGTATGCATGCTCCATGTTGATCACAGGTGTGAGCGCTCCATGTTTTTGGTCACAGGTGTGAGTGCTCCATGTTGGTCACGGGTGTGAACGCTCCATGTTGGTCACGGGTGTGAGTGGTTCCATGTTGGTCAGAGGTGCAAGTGCTCCATGTTGGTCACGGGTGTGAGTGTTCCACGTTGGTCACGAGTGTAAGTGCTCCATGTTGGTCACAGGTGTAAGTGCTCCACGTTGGTCACAGGTGTGAGCAGCGCTCCGTGTTGTTCACAGGTGTGATCTGCCACAGAGGTTGTGCGTGTGTGTGGTCCCAGACTGGGCTGGGTTGTTACTTCTCTGTGACTGAGGTCTTTCAGGCCGGCGTTTGTTGGTGGCCTCTGGCTCCTGCTTGCCTTGTGGGTCACATGCCCACAGCACCCCCTCATCCTCTTTGTTCCCTCCGCTGATGTTTCTCCTGCCCTGCCTAACGCCAGGCCTTATCAGGCCTTGTCTCCTGCCGGCTGTTCTCAGCATGCTGTGCCCTCTCTGCAGCTTAGCATCTCTCTGGTCCATGCCCCACCCCCGCCAAGGTAAGTGACAGCTGATGACGCTGTCCTTTCGATCCAGAGACCATTTCGTACTTACCAGCTTTCCAGAAGCTCACTGTGCCCCTCCTCACGCTCACACAGATGTGAGGTTCAGAGGTGTTTGCTTAAACCCCTGACCTACATTCTCCATCACGTAGCCATACAACCTGGAAATGGCTGGGCAGCGGCATTGCCAACACAAACAGGGCTGCGCTGGGCTGTGCCTTCTGTGGCTCTGCATTCCTCTCACCCACTCTGCCTGCCTGGCCACACACCCGTCAGCCAGGAGGGGGTCACCTCCGCTGTGATGCCTTGCTGAGGACTGCAGGCTGACTCCTTTTCAGTGGGGTCTCTAGGACCCGGCTCTGTCCTAAACACGCGTGTACCAAGGATACCCCAGAAGTAACCGCTGGGCGGAAGCCTTATGCTTCTCCTCCACCCTTCAAGAGCAAGCTGGAGCCATAACTATAGGATGTGGTCTTGGTTTAGTGTGTGGAGGGATTTCCAAACTGGTTGATGTGGGGATGGATCTGACCTTCGGCCACCTCACTGACACCTCAACGAGCCAAGGCTCAAAGGTTAATAACCTGCATAAAGTAATGACTCAGGGCTGCACATTCCATAAAGGCTTGTGTAAGACAGACATGAGGAGGCAGCAAGGAGCTTTGGGCCTACGTCGTGTGGCTCCAGCGCCTGCGGGTCTCAGGTTCCACTGTGGAAGGGAGTCCCTGACCACCAACAGGCCTGACTGGGGCAGGGGAAATGAAGAAAAGGCAATTACAATAACACAGAGACAATCTGGAACCAGACGGACTGGGCTCTCTGACAGAGACGCTGCGGTACCCGAGAAGCTGGCGTGTTTACTCTATAGCATTGAAGAGGGGGGCGGGGTTATTGCATATCAGCTGAACATGGAGATGTCTGTATTACATACACATAAACAAGAAGGCAGGGTTATTATGTACAATGGAACAAGGAGACATGTCTAGCTAATCTCAGTAGGAGCAGCATCTATGGGGGAGCCATCTTCAGGCTGTAAGCATCTTGGGGGAGAAAGCTGAGGTGGACATTTTATGCACACACATATGTACTCTGACCCGAAGAAGGCTTCGCTGTTCCTCTGAGCCTCACCTGGGGAAGATGCTGCCCACTCCATAGAGCTGAGGCATGAGGGAGCCTTGATATGGCTGTGCCTATGTTAACAACCACGCACATTCCCTCAGGACTTCACACGCTTCTCTGTCCCCTCCTCTCTCTGTAAGTCACTGTGAGAACCGTTAAGAGAACACCCAGAGTACAGGGAGGCCCCTAGATCTGACACACTGTGTTACTTACTGGATTTCCCTCTGCAGATATAGAGAGACAGGGGTGGGGTAGAGGGGTGGGGGGCTATAGTCGTCAGCTCCCTTTCACAAGTTGTGCACACTCTAAGGAACCGCAGACGCCTGAGGCCTGTCCCCCGTCGAGGGTGGCTGTTTCCAGGAGTCATGGGGAAAGGACATCACATTGGGTCTTCCTCTCACAACCCCATCTGGCACCCAGCTCCAAGCTCTCATCCACACAGTCCCTAAGACAAGACCATTTGACCTCCCAGTTCCTTCTCAAAACACCCTGGCAGCTCCCTTGCTGGAAACTCAGTGGCACTAAATAGAAATTTATGTGACAGGCCTCAGGGGGGGAGCCCAGAGGGGTTTGTTTAAAAGTAAATTCGTCAAGCCAAGCTGAGTCAGAGCCTGACCTATGGCCTCTGCTGACCCTCCCTGGTGAGGGGGAGAGCACCCAGCTACATCAACAAGCCGAGGCAGGGGCCACCACGGTGGGCCCCGTTTCTCTTAGCCTTAGCCACGGAGACATGAGCACCGAGGTGACAGTAGCTACCCACCCCTCAGGTTCCTCTGTTGTCCCCTGGGGCAGCTCTGCATTCTGTCTGCTGCCTTCCTGCTGTCCCAGTCTCTCCCTCCCACCCTTTCCCTTATCTCAGGCGCTGGCTCAACCCAAGGAGCAGATGCATGGTGGCCACAGGGACGTGGAGTCTGCCTACCAGTAGGCAACAGACCTCGTGCCGAAAGGGACTCGATGCTGTCCCATCGCTCCGAAATCCTTTTTACTCCCAGTGAGACAAGATGCTTTGCACCTGTGTTTGCCGGGCTTCCCAAATGAGAAACATCAGTACCTTTCTGTGGGGTGCCGGAGGGAGAGAGCCAGGGGCGCTCTATGTCCTGAAAGTTGGCTCCATTACTCCCCATCCACTTTTCATTCTCCTCTGTCTGCGAGTTTCCTGCTGTACTCCGCTTGTTTACCTCTGGCCACATAAATTTTGTACTTTCTTTAAATACCCCACCCCACTCCACCCTGTGTTGACGTTCCCGAGACCCACCCTGCCCAGTCAGTTAGCACCAGGGCTTATGAGCAACCAGCATCCGGCATCAAGGTGCCCCCGCCACCCACCTCACTGATCCTCCGCAGATGGCTGCCCTCACCTTGAGCGCTAGGAGAGGAAGAGGGGTGCAGTAGCCTGGGGGTCTCCGGGCAGAGAAGAAACTTGGGACGGCAAGTCTCAGGAACTCAGGTGCGGACCGAGGTAGAATGCTCTCATTTGCAACTCTCGGGCCTCCAAGGCCAAGCTTCAGGTCATTGCTGCTTGGCCCACGCCCTCCGCGTCAGCCTGGAGTCCTTGTCCCGTTTTGCTTAACCAGCTCTAGGCCATCCTTTAACGCAGCACGAGTGCTCCCCAATGGGCCAGCCTGGTCCACCCCCACCTACTGCCCATCTTGTCTCCTCCACCCTTCTCTCACTGGCTGTGTGGCAGCCAGAGACCTCAGGCTATGTGGTCTCACAGTGCCGGCCACCCCAGCCACACTGAATTCTCCACTGCCATCTGGTGGCTGAAGTTTGCAACTGCTGCCGTTCTAGGACTGCCCTATAGCAACTGCCACTTGGGCAACTCCCGGGTTCCTGGGGATCAACCAAGGGACCTGCTCCCTTTCCGAGTCATGGATAGTGAGGGAAGCTGTCAGCTATGAGGCACGGTGTCCCTGACCCAGACTGAGTTCAGCGGGGAAGCATGAGGCCTGAAAAGATCCCTGAATCCTATCAGTGAGGAGGAAGGATGGATGCAGAATCCACTATAGATTCTAGGGTTCTAGGGTTTTCCTCATGATCTCCTCCCCCCAGTCTCCCTCCTCCTCATATCACTGTACACATATATATGGTTTTACATATCTATAAATATAAGCCATATATAGGGTCCATACCTCCAT